TATAATATCGCTCTAGAAATGTGATAGTTGCACGTGTTCGCGGATCTGTGTGCTTTTATTAAATTGAGCAAAGAATGAATATTCATTAGCTCAGCTGGTAAAAGAAATTGCGGAAAGTGTCGTTTTAATTGGTTTGAGGAAAATGTGTCTCTTATCGTTATCATCTACTTTCCATCGTGCGCGTAATCAAAGAAATTTTAAACTCACCGAGGCACAAAAGTTCGCGGAAAGCGATGAGAATTGTAAACGACGAGTTGATAACAAAGATCAATTTCTTTTCTACGAAATTACGATTGATATATTTTGAAATTCTGGAACATGTCAAGAACGATTTAATTTATTTGAGTTTTTCTATGCTTCTTAAAAGCTTCGCAAAATATTTCTCAACGTATTTCAAAGCCTTTTCTTTTATTTCATCGCATAACACTGAGAGAAATGATTTTGTTATAGGAATAAATCAAGGGAGAACAAATGTGATATTTGTTAAAAAACCGACCAATTTGTTACGATGCAAATTAATTCGTCAATGTAACAAATAATTAATAGTATTGCAAATAAGAGGAATTATATATATATATAAGTCATAGACGATTGCAGGATCCCAAATCGTAAGAAATTGACCAATTCAAGTATTTTCCCTACATTTGACTCTATTTGGTTGATTTCCTACGATTTAAGACTCCACGGTCATCTACGAATTCTACGTAAATGAGCCTAAAGTCTATTCAAGAGCTAGGTTAGATTCTATATAGTTTGCTTCTGTTACTAATTGGTTGGTATAGCAGACTGGCAGGAAACACAACAACAAAATTTGTTGTCACATATTTATCGATCACCGATCAAAGGTACCGGCTTGCTAAATTAACAAAATCCTTTCTCTCAGTGAAGGAGGCCATGAAATTAAATACGGTTATAAAGTTGCATTCTAAAAAAAGATGACATTACTTCTCTCTTCTTGCATTTGCGAAGCGTAGCATCCAGTGCCGCGATAAAATGGAGGGGTAAGAAGCATCCCCTCGAAAATTTCCGCGTTACCTCGCCGCGGAATTATTTGTAACAAGACTCTCAACTCCAATTTCTCCCTTCTCGTTTTTCATCACCATATTCCATTCCTTTCAGCGTGCTTGAAGCTCGCTTAAAAATCTCTGGTTATAATGCAGGGACGACTGAAGCTACACTTATTGCGGAAAACCTTCCGCGATAAGTGCAGAATTGTAGAACAGATCTATTATTGCCAACAGATAGTTACGAATAAAAAAGACATCGGCTAGAGACGAATCTTGTATAGAAAATAATGATATAAATTTTTTTAAAAACTAGCAAGCCTTATTAAGTAATTTTAAAATATATATTTGTTATTCACACACACACAATAATAATAATAGAGCAAAATTAAACCAATTAGAGGAGAATAAAATTAAATGAGAATAAATCAATGAAGAGAAATAATCCAATTTTTTATTATAAAGCGCATCTTAATATTAAATATTTCAGGGTGAATTTTTGTATAAATACGTGTATCCAATTCTGTAATCGCGCATGGAATTCTTTATCAGTCTTGAAATCCAATCGTGAACAGAACTAGAATAACAATACTACATATTAAATGACAAGTAATTTAATGATATTAATGCTAATAACTATGAAATAAGAAGATATAATAATTTGATGTCAATGTAAGCATCTGAAAATGATTAAAATTCTTAAATTCGTTAATTCTTGAAAACGTCAGTACTTTTATATCGCTTTTACACATATTATAAAGTTACATAAATTACAATATATAAAACCTTAACATTTTACAATCGATCTAATTCAATGATTGATTCAGTCATTGAGAACCATGATTAGTTTCTGAAAAATTAGCATATTCTGTCAAAGGGCCTTCTCTGTCCTCTTACATTTTTATAACGTCGATTGATCGTAAGATGCGGCGATCTTCAATCTTTTCGCATCGGTGAAAATGAGATACGACAGAAATGGCGTAAGGATAGAAGGTGGCGGAACGAGAGGAAGGGATAGGCGGCGAGACAGCGAGCGAGAAAACCACTTCGTGTCGTTATACCAAGTGGATTTCGCACAGCGACAAAGGCGGAGGGAGCTATCCAAGATTACATTCCAACTATTTCTTGTCGTTTTGCGCGGCGCAAAAGCGGGAATTAATTAAATTTGTTAATTGCAAGATGCATTTAGTAACGCCGGCTCCTCCTCTCGAGTCTCTCATCATCCGCACGCCGTGCCGCGCCGCTTTCTCATTGCGTCTTTTTCTTTGCGTCGACGACGACGCACTACGAGAATTTAACAAAGTGGCGAGAGAAGCTGAAAGGTCCACTTTTGCTCACATTTAGTTGGGACACGTATGTGAAGAGCCGTTTTGTTCATTATATGTGAAATGTCTTTTGAATTGTCTTCATTAACACTGTATTCCCCGAGCAAGTCGAATGCATATCTCCGTTTATGTACACGCGTCTGCATTGTAAGCTGTGTCTGTTACAATTCTGCCACCGTTTCATCATTTCTGAAACCTCCCGGCACGTAATGATCAAATTACACGATACCGTACCGTGTATCTATTCGTTATACCTGGTATTGTCCACTCGCGTCGCAATTACCGTTGTCGTCAACATATCGTATCGTACGGGGTATATCTACGCGATATATTTCCGTTTCGACGATTCCTCCGTGCACGTTATACGTACCGTTGTACGCGGATGTAATCGTGTAATAAGGTACACGGCAGCAGAATTAATCGGCGCGCAAGGGTCAAACTGATCTTCGTTACGTGACATCCGCAGGGCGGCGGAGCGTGTGATCGCGGTGCAAACATCTCCCTTGGTGTTCAATCTGACGCTTCCGCTTCCGGAACCGGGCGCGACGGGCGCAAGCGCTAATTAGACTAATAAGAACGCGTACTATCACGGCGGAGCGTACTATCCGGCTGTTTACCAATCAGATGTTCTGGCGAGGTGACGTATACGTATTGCGCGCGTTTTGGTTCACAGAGGAGGACTTGATGCACGGGGGTGGCGCGGGTATTGGCGGGGGTTCTATGGTCGGACAGAACTCAATATTTGGGTGCTCGGCTGCAGGACACAGCGGGGTTAACCAGCTCGGCGGCGTTTACGTCAACGGCCGACCGCTACCGGATTCCACGAGGCAGAAGATCGTCGAGCTGGCCCACAGCGGCGCTAGACCGTGCGACATATCGCGTATACTGCAAGTCAGCAATGGATGCGTCTCCAAGATTCTCGGCAGGTAAGTAACAGCGCCCGGATACTCGGATAGCTCCCCTGAGAGATAATTGATGTGGACGAGGGCGTTCAGGAAATTAAATCGTCCGCCTGCGACACACTTTAGTACCAATATGGAATTTTATCGCTCGTTCCTGTTGTTTAATGGCAGATTCAATCAACGGGAGGGTTCAATGACACCACACAAGACACAAACGCTGCTTGTATTTTCTCGATACAATTAAAGGCCAATCGATAAATTTGCGAGAGAATTCACTGGATTTCCTTCCATTTTTAGTGATTCATTTTTACTGATGTTAGAGATTTAAAAATAATTGGATGTATAGTAGTAACGAGCGAACGTTACGTTATGTCTCCATTTTTCATGTAGCAATATCTCCGTGAATATAACATGGTTTCTACAAATTGCGGAGTATTAATAAAGCTAGTTTTTATCCAATGATTTCTTGTTTATAAAAAAACTCGTTTTTCTTTTCAGTAACCATACTATGTTTGATCTTTATGGAACAAGGATCTATTTTTAAAATTTACAACGTTTTCTCAAGCAATATATTTGCATAATTTATAATTTTATTGCATTCCTCGTTTCAACATACAATATAATACTATTTTAGCGCCATTACAGTGGCTCTCCCGTCTTGTAAAGGTTAAAAACGACCCGTGACGACTATGACGTAACTGTAACGTGCGTTAAACGAAAATAACAATGTTCTTTTTCCAGGTATTACGAGACTGGTTCGATCAAGCCGCGGGCGATCGGCGGTAGCAAGCCGCGAGTGGCGACGACGCCTGTGGTCAACAAAATTGCCGACTACAAACGAGAATGTCCCTCGATCTTCGCCTGGGAGATTCGCGATCGACTTTTGCAGGAGGGCGTTTGCAATAACGACAATATACCCAGCGTAAGTAAAAAAAAAAAAAAAATTCGATCGTATACGTGAGATACGCTTAATTTAGGATGCAGACTGTGTCAGGTGATTGATATTGATAAACGTGGTAACTTGACTGAACTACATCTCGCTAAATGTCACTAATGATAGATTCGAACAAAGCGAATTCAGATGAGCGGATTTCGCAGAGTCTAGCTCCTCTAGATTGCCTGCACGATTCTCTCGTCTCGCACATAAATTTGTGACGCGCGAATAAATTTCCCCGCTGCGCTTGGCGCCACACATTGATTGGATACGGTATAAGTTTACGCGTAATCCGCCGTCGACTTATCGTGGCGCACAGCCGGTCGGGTGTACTTACCCGTCGGATCCGGCCACTCGACCCTAATCAAAGTCTCGTCAATACGATCGGCTGGGTGGGGTAATCGGTCCATTACGCGGACCTCGGCATTGTCCACCCTCTTGGGCGCCGATCGCCCTTCTACGAACTCGAAGAATCCTCTACGGTTGTATACGTGTTCGTCCATCTACCAAACATCCTGCCCACACCCAACCTTCCTTCCCGACCGCGCGAAATATCCTCGAAGTCGATCGTCCTCGTCTGGGCTCCTCCGAGGATGCTCTCTCCACTGACAGATCCCCCCCTATCGGCTGTCCGTCAGGAATACCGAGGGGAACGGCACGCGTACAAGTCGTTACTCCATCGGCTTGTGGAGCAAACTTGCTCTTGCTGTAGTGTGTTCCTTGGAATTGCCGAATGAAGAAGGTCGATGTTGGGGATGTTGGGGATGTTGGGGATTCTAGGATGATCAATCAGAACGTCTAGCACGCGCTTCTGTCGTTAAGCGTGTAACGTGTTAGCTATTGGCGAGATTACGTTTGAAAACATCGTTCTAGCGGGTGCTTTCAGACGGACACAGTGAATCATTACATCCTTGTCGTTTATCAATGAACAAACCTGAAATCATTGTTGTCCCCTACAACACACGCACGTCCGAAAACAAAACATCTTAAAGAGACTTTTTAAAAGTCTTTTATCTCGATTTTCGACTTTTTATCGTCTGAAGTGTGTCTACGCTGTGTCTCTTGCTGGACAAAATACCAAGTATATCTCGTCTCTTAATAGGTTTCGCGTTGCTTGGAATCCGAAAAAAATGTTTGTACTAAAACGGGATAAATATATATTCAGGCATTTTAAGTACAAACAAGGGAGAGAGAGAACGAAGATGCTAAGTGCAAAAAGTGCAGGCAACGCGGACCTAATGCATTTGATATTTATCAAATATTTTTATTGAATTCGCAAACACATCCTTCTATCAACAATGAATTTCTTGAATTTGCTTACAATAATGAAATATCAAATTGATGGTAAATGTAACTTGAAATCGAAGTTGGGTGAAAAATCAGTCTCGAATAATTTTGGAAAGTTTCAAGTCAGAACCAAGAGAGAAGAGACAATTTGATTGACAGATCGTTCTTTCGATTGTTTCGATCTTTTCTCGATTACTGGTGGATCGCTGGTACATACAGTATTGGCGGTGACGTTGGCTATTGCGGCTGGTACACATCGCGTCGGGGGTTGGTATCGGGGGTGCGCGCGGGGTTAGTCGGCGGCGAGAGCGGACGGGAGCGGGTAGAATCAGGGTGAATGGGATCAGTTAAGCGTGTTGCACAATTATTCGTGTCCGGTCGCGCGTGTAATGGCCTGCATCGACGCTGCGGCTGTTGTGCGGCGAGAGTAGAGCGATCCAGAGCGGTACAGTGCGGGATCTCTCTCTCTCTCTCTCCCCCGGCATCCAAGGCTGGATAGACGGTTTGATGACGGAGAGCCTGGTCCGGGTTAGCCGGAGCTAGCTCGTCTCGAAACGTTGCTTCCGCTATTCGCCTGTTACTATCTCGTAGCGTCGGAATGGGAGGGGGGGGGCGGGGGTGGTCGAGGTGGAAGTTACGTACGCTCGATGAGCTCCAGACGTAGTGAGTGTGATCAATGAAAATCGATGTTTCCCAATATTCGCATATACCTATTCGCGAGAAATTGAATTTAAACGTGATTCTACTTTTTCTTGTATCTCCCAACACTCGTTTCTCATCCGCATTGCGGTAAGATCGCGATTTTTACGTAAAAAATTACCTGTACTTTTATACGAAATTTCAGTACTTTTCAACGAAAAGCGCAATGTTTACCTGAATGTACCTCGAATATACAATCGAACCATCCAAGTCAGGTTTCCTCGTCTTTTAACTCTAATAGCAGCGCGCTATTCTAACGGTGACGTTCTCTCAGCGTCACCCGGCCATTATTCCGTCGGTTTTGACTCAAACTACGCGAGAAGGATCGGCTTTGCTCTCGTACCGCTCTTGTCGAAGCTTGTCGACCTCGTAATTAAGAAGCTCCGCTCGATATCCGACGTCCGCGCTGCATTAACGGCTGTGTATATTCGGCTGCTGCACCGAGCCCGGCGTCGATTGCAGAAGGGTGTGGAGGATGGGGTTGGCGCGCGTATGGAGTACGCTGAGGACCATTATGTGCAAGTTGAGAGCGCAATGCTTAGATCCCTGTGCTATACGCCGGCTCGTTATAACTTTCGAGTTAGCCAGTGGCTCGGTTGCGAGCGTAAGGTGAAGACGACAACCGATGACGACGGCGACCGTCCCCCGGAGGGGATAGGAGGGGGACGAAGAGCCGTGGAGACCGTTTTATGTAATAATAATTGGATGGCGGCGGTGTCCTTTCATCTGGGTATGACCCCCTTCGCATCCCGCGACCGCAGGAGGACGAAAAAGAGGAAGAAGGATCGTGCCTCGCCCGTGCAAGGGAGCGATGGCGAGGGACGGACAATCAGTGCTCAGCTATGACGACGGAAATGATTCTCGTGCGACGACGAGTGGCTGCGGTTGTGAGATTTTACAAAGAGCCTCGCCCCGATCCGCCACGCCAGCCTCTTTTGCCTCTATCTCTCTTTTTCTCGATCGAGAGTGGACAATGGAAGTATCTTGTGTGCGTAAGGATCACCGCGTATCATTGGAAAAACGACGCAACATTTTCTCTAAATCAACATTTTTTTCCCGTAAACTACAGGAATATTAGAAGCGAAATTAGAAAAAAAATGCTAATTGTTTCTACAGTCTTTGAATTATAAATGATTGGAGATTAATCAACATTGGCAACTTAAGATACACAGATCGTTAATTGAATTATATATTTAGAGATGTATATTAATATTAAACCTTTTTTCATACATATAACCATTAAAATATTACATTTCCTGTGAAATGATTTCGAATTTAAAATAGAGACAAACATAATTTGCATAATAATTTTTACTAAATTTTCAAGAGACTTCGAAACCAGTTTGCTTATAATTTTTACAAAAATTGTTGCCAGCAATTTCAATAAAAAGTTTTAATACAAAAGTTGACAGCAGCTTTTATAGCACTTTCTTGATCCTCGTAGGATTGAATTAATAAATGATTCGCGAATTAATTCTAATCGAAAATCTCCGTCTTTTTGTAGGTGTCGTCTATTAACAGGGTACTCAGGAACTTGGCTTCGCAGAAGGAGCAACAGGCGGCCGCGGTGCAAGCGCATCAAGGTGCCGAGAGTGTCTACGACAAGCTGAGAATGTTTAACGGGCAGGCAGCAGGTTGGCCACCAGCATGGTATTCGGCAACACCTCCCCATCATCCTCTGGCCACGGGAATTCCAACCGCGGCGACTCCTGGATCCGGTCAGACTCTTCTGCCCGGCAGTCAGCTTCACGGCCGTGACGATTCTTTGCTGAAACGAAGCGGTAAGTTTTGATTTACTTTTGCTTAATGGTAAAACGCTGATAAAATATTAGCGGACTCGGCATCTGTTGACGGCATGTTTTATTCATCATGTTAGAGACCATGCAGACCGTTACTAATTTACCAGTTATTATCTTTTAATCCAACTTTATTTTATCTTTCAAATAGTGAAAAATAAAATCCGCGTTGAAAAAAGAAAATAACTTTATGTTGTGAATTAAGGATTATAAAAATCTTTCTTTCGTGTAAAAAAAAAAAAAGAAAAAAAAATAATTCGTATAATAGTTTTAGTATGAAAATTCAATTTAATTAAAATTTCGATAAATATGTATATTTGCCTTTGCACATTAAAATTTATATAATCTTGCTTTTGAAAAGATATCTTCGAATGATTGCGTTCTCTTTACTCGTTCTTTCGCTCGATTCACGAGAATTGTACGTTGCGTTGTGAATTATTGGACTTTTGACACCTCGCGCTCAACACATGTACGTGTACATACGTGGTCGAGTAAGGAATGAAAGATCTATTCTACAGCGCTGTAAGTCTAATAGGATCACGAAAATTGTGCCCGCGGCTTGGTCTTTCAAAACCACGTCAGTCAAAACCACGAATGACGAATCCAGATGTGACCGTCTTTAATAGGCAGATTACATGAACCGATAAGTGACGGGTAGAAAAGTGCTTTCACTAGCAGCGTATTCTTCGAGGATTCCGGAATGCTTTTTTTTGGCAGTCTTGAGATTCATTATGTATGTATTGTCTCTTGATTATATGTCAATCTAATTCTCTTGACCTAATAAATATTCTCTCTCCAACATCTGTATATCGGTATATCAAAATATATTTTTGCGTGCCAAATGACTTTACGATAATAACGCTGGCGCTGAGGCGAATATAAACGAGACAGTGTAGTGTCAGATGTAGAAACGAATTTTTTGTAAATTTTTGTTTAAATCTATATAGGAGTGTCTTAAATCGCCTCGTCACCTATGAGGTAGTAGTTTATGCCTTACTGGATACGTCAAAGTGCTGCTTATAGTGTACACTTGAATGCACAGGAATGCATCGAACGGTCGATCGCGGCCACTTTGGCCACAGCGGCCGCATTAAGCGGCCGGATCGTAGAGAGCTAATCTCTTCTCTTTCTTCAGCGGGCGTGCGTCGTCACCTAGAAAATTAAAGCCAACGATCCGTCTGCAGCGGACCGCCGAGGATCGTTGCCGGTCTGGTCGTTACGCGCAGGGGTGTTCGCGAGGAGATTCGGGGGTGGATTCCGCGGGAAGGAGAAGAACGGGAGTTGACGGTTAGAGGACGATGAGAGGCAGGGCAGGAAGGACCGGAGGGAAAGAAAGAGGCGTGTTTGGGGTGCCGGTATTTCTAGTCGAGGGGGTTTCGCAGGGTCGAGTCCAATTGGGGGTTGCGCGGGGGTTGAGATGAGCGAACGAGAAAGCGAGCAGCTGACGAGTGAACGGCATGTATTACATATATATATATATATATATATA